TGCCCGTTCCTGTATTATAATACTTACCATATGTATTGTAATTTTTTATCCAGTTATCCTTCTGTCCTCCTTCCTCCCACACACTGGGCTCAGCTTCCAGGAGCAGCAACAGTATCTTCTTGGACTTCAATCCCTAGCACTTGGCAGAGAGCCTGGCACTTTGTCTGCCCTCGATGTTTTATGAATGAATGAATGAACCAACCACTCTCTCAAAGTCATTCACTATCAGTGAATCTTAAGCTTTATTGGGCATAAAAATCACCTGGAGTTGCTGGCAAAAAATGCAGTGTTCCAGGGCACACCACAAAAGATGCTGATTCTGGACTAAGGTAGGGTCTAGGAATCTGCATTTTTATTAAGCAGCTGATAATTTGATACAAATGGTCCATAGACCACATGTGGCAAGCTCTGCTCTTTCATTAGTTCCAAGGGTACTTAGTCCCAACTGTATATACCACAATTATCTGTCCATCTGAATAAAAACATAGAGCTTGGCTACCCACACCCTTCTACCATTCTGACTCCTGAGTATGGCTATTGACATTTTAAACAGACCCCAAGTCTCCCTCCCAGGAAAATTTGTAGAAATAAAGGAGGTAATATTTATAAAGCATTTTGAATGATCAGAAGAAGGGTATCTTAGTTCATCAAGGAAATATCATGATATAAATCTACATCATGAAAGTTCTCTTAGACATGTTGAGTTTGGTCTGAGACTCAAATGCAGAGGAAATAAAACCCACATACAGTGTCTGCATGGACCCAAGCCTGTATGAGCTCCTGCCCTGGCTGCATTCTCTTATTTGTGTGAGCAGGCTTCCCCCTTCATAGGGCCAGTGTAGAGAAGAGGGTTGATTTAGACACGGGGATGCTAGATGTTCTTTTGTGAGTGAAGTTCCCTATCAGTAAACTTGATAGCTGATGTTTACATATTTTTTTTAAATTCCAAGTAGTGCATCTGTGCCTGCATGCTACTTTATATGTACACATCTTTTTTCTGAAATGAACTTAAGCAACTTTACAGGAGAAAGAGCTTTATGGGCTAGTTATTAAACTACATTTATTTAACTATGAAAAGGATTTTTGATCCTTGTGGTATATTTGCATACGTATTGTTAGGTATTTGTGTTCAATTCCTCATATTACTTTTTACCTGCCACTTATTTTGTATGCATGTTTCCATGGTCAACCTAATTCGCAATTCAAATAAAATCGTATTTCACCTATTTTATGCTATTGTTTATCAGTGTTCTCCTTAGTGTTGGATGCTTTGGTTATTTTCAATTATTGCCTATTATATAGAGTTCTTCTGCTCATTTTGCTCAAATTATATTTTTGTTTGTATGAATTCCATGGGGTATATTTTTCAAAGTGAGATGATTAGATAAAAGAGTGGTGACAGCTTTATAGTTCGTGTTGCTTATTACAGTATTACTTTCCAGAGACCCTGAACCAATATACAACCCCACAGCGGGGTAGGGCATGCTGGTTTTCCCGCAGCTTGGCTAAGATGTAATTTTATCATTCCAGCCTCTTTTTGCTAGTTTGATATGTGTATAGCGCCTCTTCAGAGATATTTTATTTTGAAGTTCTTTAAGTGATACAAAGCAATTTTTTTCCATGTGGGATGATTCATTATTTTCCCTTTAAGGAGAAACAATTCATCTCCACATTTGACAGTTTTGAAGGGACAGGCTTAATTTCCTTTTGTAGAATTGATCCTGTAGGGATAGGAAATAGGATCCGCGTTAGGGACTGGGGCGGGCTCGACGTGTCGGGGAAGATCAGTTGCATAGCTCTGAACGAGGAAACAAACGGAGAACTGCAGCAGAAACGCCAACTGACCCTGTTTAAGAAGGACTGGAGAGCAGAGATGTTCTGATTTCATGGTGAAAATAGTCTTGGGGCTTTGGCGTAGGACGACAGATTGCTGCAAAAGGAAAGCAAGAACCTATCCTTCCTGCCATTCTTTGATTCTCTTACAATGCCACTTCCTCTCCTGAACATTTCCAGATATCCTCATTTCAGGTAGAGCCCTCTGGTCTAGGACAGGAAGGGTTTTTAAATGGCCATGAAACTAAAAAATGTTATTTGAGAGGAGCTGGAGGCAGAAGTCTCAGGAGCAGTCAGTCACGGCTGTGAAAAAAGTCAGCTCCATCACAGAAAAGGGCCTTGTGCTTGGTTGTCTCAGCCCTATGTGACTAAGGTCATCTTCTTAAGTAAGCAAATAAGTGGTCACCGTGCTGGTTTGGTTTCCTGTGATGCCAAACCCAAGATACTGTGTTGCTTATGCAAGACGGGGCTTTTGTTTTGGACAGTGGTCTAATTTATTGATTTTTAAAAAATTGGTGACTAGCTTGTAATGAAAATCATCCTATTGAGCACTTGGAATCAATTCTGAAGGGTTTCCTCCATTCCCTGCTGTTATGCTAAATTTGGTAATTTTTGACTTAATTCTTGTGTCAGTAGAATAGTTACACACACACATCTGTATCTATATCTATGACCATCAGTTTTATTTAGAAATAATTCACATACCACATTCACTCATTTAACATGTACAATTCAATAATTCTTAATCTAGTCACCGAGTTGTGAATCCATCGCCACGATCAATTTTAGAACACTTTTATCACTGCAGAAAGAAACCCCATTCCCATTAGCAGTTGCTCTCCATTTGCCTCCAATGCCCCCAGCCCTAGGCAACCACTAATCTACTTTCTGTCTCTATATAGATTTGCCTGTCCTGGACATTTTGTATAAGGAATCATACAATATGTGGTCTTTTGGTTTAGCTTCTTTCACTTAGCATAATGTTTTCAAGGTTCATCCATATCGTGGTATATATCGGTCCTTCTTTCCTTTTTTATTACTGAATAATATTTCATTGTGTGACATACCACATTTTGTTTAGCCATTCATCAGTTGATACACATTTGGGTTGTCTCCACTTTTTGGCTATTATGAATAAAGCTGCTATGAACATTCATGTGTAAATTTTTGTGTGGAAGTATGTTTTCATTTCTCTTGGATGTCTACCTAGGAGTGGAATTGCTGGAATATATGGGAACTCTATGTTTAACTTTTTGAGGAACTGCCAGACTGTTTTCCAGAGTAGCTGCATAATTTTACACTCCTTCCAATAAAGTATGATGCCCCAATTTCTCTATGTCCTCACCACACTTGTCATTGCCTATCTTTTGTGTTGTAGCCATCCTGGTGGTTGTGAAGTGGTATCTCATGCAGTTTTGATTTGCATTTCCCTGATGGATAATAGCTTACTCCTTATCCTAGTATTTTCTTACACTTAAAAAAAAATTAAATAAGGAAAATGTCTCAGGAAATTAAGGAGTACAATTAGTATGGGCTGCTTTAACTTCCTCTGGGATCTCATGCATCACTGCATCATAATATAAGGGGCCACCACTGGCATGCTTGTGCTCCAGTCATTTTCTTCCATTCTTGTATCCATTCATCATTCAGAATTCTGGGAAGGAGAGAGAATTGTCCTGTGTTGGGTTATGTGCCCTCCCCTTTGACCCGTAGTTATGCCTAGTCAGCGTACAACGTGAATGTGTGAATCCTGAAAGGAAATTGAAGTGCTCTTGGGTTGGGAGAATGGATGCCACAGTTGGGACCAGAATAGGTTTCCTGCCTCTCACCACATTGCCAAGTTTGGGAGCCGAGCAGACAATGTCAGAAACCTCATCATGGGCCGGCCCGGTGGCACAGCAGTTAAGTGTGCACGGTCTGCTTCTCGGTGGCCCAGAGTTCGTCGCTTCAGATCCTGGGTGTGGATATGGCACCCCTTGGCAAAAGCTATGCTGTGGTAGGCGTCCCACATATAAAGTAGAGGAAGTTGGGCATGGATGTTAGCTCAGGGCCAGTCTTCCTCAGCAAAAAGAGGGGGATTGGCAGTAGTTAGCTCCAGGCTAATCTTCCTCAAAAAAATAAAATAAAATAAAAAAAGAAATCTCATCACACAGGGTAGTTAGTAACTATGCCCTAGCACACAGTATAGTGGAGGAAATATAATGATTTACTTATAATATTTAAATTTTATATTTTAAAATTATAATTTTTAAAATTTATATAGCCCTTTGTTGGGTACACAGCATGTTTCAAATATATGATCTCATTTGATCTTCAATAATCTGTTAGTTTCTAGCTATACTCTATAGTGGCCTCATTGTGGTTTAAATATTCTTGGGCACTAGCCTAAGAATCCAACCACCAACAACTGATTTAATGAAAATATGTGGTCTGAGTTCCAAACAAATGACTAACAAATGAGAGCCCAAAAGTCAATCTGCTTCTAAGCCAGGGAGTCCCTGGTCAGCAGCTCATGCCAGCAGGTGTGAGTACACAATGGAGAACGACTTTCATGTGCCCGGTTCCTGGCTACCAGGGATGTTGACTGTGGGCCCAGCAGTATCAATATGGGTGACTCAAAGGATCACTCCGCTAGGAGCAGTTTGGAAAAAACACAGTCCTTGGAACTCCAGGTAGCATCTAAGGTGCCTGCGAGGAGGTAGAAGTGTTCATATAACATCCTCTAGCATTTTCTGTTACAGCAGGCAGCCAACCAGAAGGGTCCAATTGCTTAAAATGAGAATGGCTGCATCAAAATGGCAGTTCAGGGTTTAAAGGACTCTAGTCAGAGACCAGATGTCCTCATGCAGAGCAATGCCTCTGAATGGCCTGGAAAGAAGGAGTCAAGTGCCCTGGATCTTTTCCTTGGATCTCAAACTCTTCCTTTTCCTAATGTTGGGCAAGAACCAGGATTGTAGGCATCCCAGCATCCATGAACTTCTCAAGAGTATATATGATCAGACGAAAGCTTCAGTGTCCACTCACAGGCCACTGAGAACATTTTAGTCAGTTCTGCCAATCGCCAGCCAAGGCATAAGTTTTATAACATGGTGTCAAAGATGGTATCTGTAATTGTGATGATTTCTTAAAATAACCACTTCATTTAGATTTTTCTATTTTAACCTCAGGTATTCTTCAGCGGAAATAAGGAAACAGTTTACTCTGCCGCCAAATCTTGGCCAGTACCATCGACAGAGCATAAGTACCTCTGGCTTCCCCTCTCTTCAACTAGTAAGTATGAGTTGCGGGTTTGCTTAGAGAATGGTCAAGTGCAGAAGTACCCAGGGTATGCTTTTGCCTCCTAATTCTCCTTACATCTTCCCACTGCCACCTTACCCCTCCAGCCACCAGTTCTTAGCTCTGTGACTGCTTTTTGACATTAGCCAATTTCCCTCTCTCCCTCCCTCAACTAGGGCTCAGAGTGCAAAGTGGACCTCCACGGGTGGTGGTTCTGAAGTCTCTGGACTTAGTGAACTTCCAGGCTACTTGATTTCACCCAAATTATGGTTCATATTTGGGGGAGGGGGGAAGGATTAGCCTGGAACCTTACTACCATTTGTAACATGCTTTTATTGGAAAACTGTATTCCAAAATCTGAAAAGCCAAGTTACAAACCTTAATTTTTTTAAATCGTTTTCTTGGAAGCGTAATTTACATGCAATAAAATTCACTCATTTTTAGTGTACGGTTTGATGAATTTGGCCATTTATAGTCATTTAACCTCTACTCCATCAAGACATAGAGCAATCTCTTTGCTCTAAAAAGCCCTATCACACCACTTTGCAGTCATCTCCTCTCCCAACCTGAGCCCCTAGCCCTGGGCAACCACTTTTGTCATCATAATTTTGCCTTATCTGGAACTTCATGTAATTGGAATCAGACAGTACAAACCTTCATTTTTAAAACACACTCTCTTTTTTAAGTTGAAGATTGTGTACATTTTTATATTAACAGCAGTTGTCGAGCGTGCATCTATGTATTATATGATTTGAGGATTAAATGCCAGAATATGTCAAGTGGGATAAATCTGACTTAAATGAGATGGTTTGTAAAACCAGAAGTGGGTATTTACTTCCTTTGTGAGAGAGCTTACGGCCTCCACTCTACTCACTTCCTCACGCTAGCACAGCGATACTTTCTTGCTTGTTCTAGTGGTTATCTGGAGGAGTTAGGTTATTTTTTGTTTCTCACTTATTACTTCAAAACCACTTCTGCTCTTAGAAATTCTGTAACCTTCCACTCGGTTTCCTGTAGCCGCCATTTTGACTCCTGTAACAATTTACACGCCGTGTAACTGTGTATCTTTTAAAGGTATGTTTATTGGAGTAATTTGTGATTATTTCAGTAGGATAATTTGGGTGTTGTGTCAGTGATGAAACAATAGTCCTAAAAAATGTATAGAACCTTTTACTGCAAGACGCAACTTGCGATGACATTCATCAAAAAATATTTATGACTTCGGTGGCTTGCTAGACTGCACTTTTTATGTATACTTTCTTGTCTGTGTCAAAATTGCAGATTATAATAAAGCACATCAAGTGCATGATGTCCATGCTTTCAGAGATATTAGATAAGCTTTAAACCATGAGGATTAGGTGTGCTTTTTGGTTTAATTTGGTGCTAATATACATTTCATTGAAAACAAAAAAAAATTATTTTTACATTTCTGACTCAAATTGTATTCCAAAATCTGCACAATTCAGTTAAAAAGTTACTGGATACACTTTTATATCTTGAACAAGAAGGGGAGGCGTGGTTGGCTTCTTTCTAAGTTAAGATTGTGGCTTTCTGCAGTAGCTGTCTGGAGAAATAGTGTGGACATCGTTATTCAGAGGCTTTAAGGAAGTTTAGCCAGCAAGCTTTAACCCCTTCTCTGCACGCCAGCTTTGACCTTAATGCCGCAGGCTTAAATTTCTGCAGGAGAAATCTTTTTTTTTTTTAAGTTACAAAAAAAAAAATTGTTTAATATTTTCAGGTGTTCTTTTGGTAGTTATGCTGCCTCGTCAGTAGGTTTTGACAAAAGTGAGTTTTGGTGAATTATTTCCTTAGCTAGGTAGTTAAGTTAACATGTGGCTTAACTTCCAATTTTCTAACAGAAGATATCAAAGTAACAAAAATATTTAACTACATAAAAATCACGTGTTCCTATCGGTCATAATTTATTCCTGGTTCTATCTGCAAATGAATACCCTTTAAAATATATTGCTCCTGGTTGTTCCAGTTTAGTTTTCTGAATATCTTTTCCCAGATCTCTTTTCCAGCTTCAGCACAGTCTATTGCCCCTGTTCCTTCTCTTTAATTGATGGAAGAGCAGGAGGCGTGAGGGAGCCAAGAGGCCTGAATTCATTTCTCCTTTTTTTTAACGGATGGTCTGCTTAGGAAATCACCCTAGTGTTTACCTGCTTGTCATGTTGTAACCTCAGAATGAAGTGGCCGTTCTTTCCCTTGTGTCGTCTTCCCGGTTGAAGGTTCCTCCAACAGAAATCATCAATTTACATGGTGATTTCCCTCTACCTTACGAAAAATTATTTCATTTCGTAGAAAGATAATGGGAGAGGAGTAGTTTATCATCCAAAGACTCTCAACCTGAAGCAGCTTTATAAAACTTTTTTTCATTGAGAAGCCATACACTGTTCATTGTATTATTTTGGACAATTAAAAAATAAGATTAAGAGCATTTTGACCTTTGTTTCTCTTACCTTTGTTTATATAACCACCGTTTCAACAACTCCACATGCTGATACAAATGGTTGTTTAATTTTTAAAAATATTTAATTGATGCCAAGTTATTTAAAACCCAATCCATTGTAAGTTTGTCGTTGTTTTGTGAGAGGTAAGAACTTGAAGTCAGATGGATCTCTGGTGAAGCATGACTGCCACTTATTAGGCGTATAATTTGAGGCAAGTTACTTAACCTTTATGAAGGCTTTAGTTTCTTCATTTGCAATATTGGCATAATAATGCTACCCCATTAGGGTTAGTAAATAATGATGTAGTAGTTGCTGCGTAAATAGTGGCTAATGTTGCTGTCTATGTATTTGGCACTATGGAGACACTGTGGGAGGTTAAAAGGAGATGGGAGGTATTGAGTCTGGTAGGTGTTCAGAAGAGAGAAAGATCCATTTTATAATAGTAGGTAAAGGCTTCGTAGAGTAGGCTTAGAAGACCTGAGAATGTTCTTGGCCCTAGCTACCCATCAGATCGCCCAGGACCTTTAGAAACATACCTGTTGCCAGGTCCACCGTAGAACAATTAAATCAAAATCCTAGAGATGGGGCCCAGGCATTAGTATGTGAAAGTTCCCTGGGCTTTTATCATATGGTCCAGGTTGAGGATCCTTTAAAGAGCCTACATAGGTAGAAGTATTCCAAATAGTAGGAAGAAAATACAGAAAGGTAAAATTTCTTTTGTTGTTCTGGTTGCTTTGAATTTCAGAAAGTGTGGTAAGCAAGGACCACTCGCTAACTCTATGGACGGAGCCTTATGTAAATATAGTGGCTTCTGTCATAAATCTGATAAATCAAATGAGAGGAAGGGTGTGTTTGATTTTGTTTTGTTTTGTTTTGTTGGGTGTTTGTTTTTTAACTCTAATTGTAAATGTTAGTGTGGTGATTGTGTATACATGCATTTTCAAAACAGAGAAAATATCCATAAATTTTGCATTTTTGAAGAGGATTCACCATTTACGGTTGGTTTTTTAGACATGATGACAGAATGTCTTCGTCCTATTTGACATTCCTGTCAGAGTCCTTTGTGACCAGTGCCAGAGAGAGTGGCCTTGTATGTAGAATCGCCCATTGGCCTTGGCATTTTCCACTGCCACAGCCAGTGCACAGATTGGCCAGACAATGTCAACAATGCATGGTTGCAATGCCAGAAAATGCCCTCCCCTGATGCCAACCACATACCTAGGTAAACAAGTCTACATTTGATGTCGTCATTGAAATGAAACTGTAAAACACTAAAACTATTTTCTGAGTATTCAAAGTAGAAAGGGGAGTGAAACATACAAGAGAAGAAAGTGTTGGGAATCTATGCCTTGAGGTAGAAAGGAGGATTTGAAACACTGTGCACATGGTTAATAACCTTAATCTACATTTTTATAGAGGGAAAAATCCTATTTTTAAAGATGAGAATGGAAAAGTTTGAAGTGAAATGGAATGAACCAGCTGGACCATAACAGCTCTGGCTGAAGAGAAGGATGTAAAAAGCCACATCCTGGATATGTACCAAACGCCATGGTTACATGACATGTTTGTATGTAACATTTACGTAAAAAAAAAAAAAGAAGAAGAAGAAGTAGTCTCATACCTTAGAAAGCCTTCATTTTTGCTGTGTTTAAGCTTCTGTGAAGTAAAGTAACCTTTTTCTTTTACCACTAAGGATAATCTAAATGGCAGATCACTTGATATATGTGGTCCTCTTATTTTTCTGATGCTATTGTTCTTTTGTGTTTCCATCTTTCAAAGAGTTGGGCTATTCGTAGGTTTCACTGATTTCACTGGAGGAGACATGATGGAAAATGAAGATCTCAACATAGCTTTCATGCAAATTCACAGTGGAAGATAAAATAAAGTGTGGCACCCTGCATGCAGAGCAGGAGTTTTGTTACTGTCATTGTAAAGCGGGGGAATCAAATACATCTTGGTAAAAAGAGATTGATGGCCATGATGGCATGTCAGCATTTTCCACTCAGTGGCATCAGTGGAAGATTGCCATTGGTGGAAGCAGGGAAGTGTTGTTTAATCTAAGCCATGAAGTACTTTGAAATCACTGAAGCCAGAAGGATCTTACTTTCTTCAGCTCTGCTATATTTAAATAATGGAGAGCTGAGAGGATTGTCTTAACCATTCATTTGTTCAAGAAATATGTATTGGGTCTCATTCTATACCAGGAACTGCTCTAGGAGATGGGGATATAGCAGTGAGTATAACAAAGGGTCTAGCCTCATGGAACTTACATTCTGGATTGCAAGACATCGACAAATAGGTGAATGTAGACTATATCAAGGGGTAGTAAGTGCTTTGAAGAATGAAACTGGGGAAGGGAATAGAGAGTGACACAGAAGAGGGCCTATGGGGTCATCTATGGAGGCTTCTATCTGGAAAGGAGACACTTGGGCAGAATTCTGAATGAACTTGACAGGTATGTGAAGGAAGAGTATTCCAGTCAGAAGGAACAGCCATTGCAAAGTCTTCAAGGCAAGAATGTGTTGCACGCTCCAGAAACAG